CAGGCCAGAGAAAGAAATACCTTTTCCAGTTCCAATCCCAATCCCCTGATATCTGCCCCACAACCCGGACCGTTGTTTATTTGGGTGTCTGCTGTGTAGGTTTGTACATACGCCCAAAAGAGGAAAACCTTTCAAATTTTGCAACGCAATATGTCAATTACTTTCAACAAGGCTGCCAACTGTGTCCAGCACATACACACTGCTAACAAATGAATGAAAAATGAATTTAATTGCCCTATGTTGGGTGTCAACATTTTTGAAATGGGTTCGCATTTGTATCGCAGTCAGAAAAGCACATTCAGCTGGGGCGACTGTGAACTTTTTGGGTCTTGAGGGAGCTGGAAACGTTTTTATGACAGTAACAGCAGTAAAACCGTTGACCTCTGACCGCCCACTGCCCACTGGGCACCACCTCTCCCAAAAAAAAAGAGACAGCCTGCCTTTGACCCATATCAGCCGTCTCCCATGTTTCGTAAATCGAAGAGTATTTTTGGATGAATGGCCAACATTCTTGGCTCGAATCGGTCAATTTCAAAAAAGGGCCAACACACTAAGGGCCAGGTCCCGTCTGCCAGCGTGGAGTTTTGAATCGGATCCGGATTCTGTTGCTGTTTCTGATTCTGATTCCATTTGTGGGGCCAAGTCAAAGTCGGTTTTCCTGTCTGGTGCAGGCGAAACCGCAAAGAGCAACATAATGAAAAGTGTTTGGTCATTTATTGTTTAAATGTCTGACAGCATGTTGACAGCCAAATGCCAAAGTAAGTTGTCAGTGGCACAGCAGAGTGGAGTGTGGCTGGAGGGGATCGGTTCTTCAAATGGAGTTGGAGATGGAGATGGAGCGGTAGCCAGACAACGAGATGGCCCAATGTCTGGGCATGTCAGCTGGACTGGCAGCAGATGGAGAACTTTGAGCTCCTGCCTGACGGCCTGCCTGCCTGCCCCACTGGACTAACGGACTACGGAAACTTTCGCAGCGGTTTCGCCTTCATCTTCTCCGGCTGGGCAAAGTGCAGGCGACACTTGCTTTGATGTTCTCGCATTTGATTGACTTGCGGCTGGGAGTCTCGAGCTCAATCTGCTTTTGAGTTGGAGCTGTTATGGTTGGCCGGGTTAATTAAGTGGGAGAATCAAATACACATTTCAGACTCCAGATGATGGATGGCTGAAATACACATTTTGAATTTGGTCAAGTGGCAGACTAGCTTATAAGATAGCTTAATATGCTATGAAGTATCTATACCTATCGAACTTAACAATCAACCACTTTAGCCAACCTTCGTTTGCGAATGCCACACCATTACTTTTTTAGCCACCATAAACTTCCATATCATTGACTTTTTATTTTTATAGAGCTAACGTGCCTCAATATGGCAATATAATAACCTCCATCTGACAATAAAACATAAATAATGTGCTGGCCAAAGCCGGGCCACAAAGCCATCGTCCAGTGTCCAGTGTCCATTCCGTGACTGCAAGAGCAACAACAATTGCGACAAGCAATTCTCGAATGACAATTGTAAATTGTTTAAATAAAATTTATGAGTGCCCAAATGTGTCGCCATATAATTTCATGCACTTTAACATAAAATTTATCACAATTTGTGTGTGTCGCATATTTCTTGTTTCGCCTCCTTTTTTTTATTATTTATTTTTTTTTTTTTTGTAAATAGTTTATATGAGTTTTGGTCGAGATCTGGGCTGGATTGTACTGGGGACTGGGTGTTTGTGTGTGGGGATTCTATGGGCGCTTTGCCGGCGAAATAACTGTAATTGAAATTTATTGCACAATTTATCGCAGCGACAGACAGAGAGGGACGGGACAGAGATAGATCGCGTTCGGTTCGTTTAACCCGCAGTTGTTTCCCTCGCTTTTGTATGCGACATATTGAAATTTATGTCAATTTAAAAAGCAAAGTTGTCGTGTCAATCATAAAACTCAATTATCGCGCAAGCATTTGCCATTCCGCCAAAGGGGGGGCCAACGTTGGCCAACACAAAAAAAAACGGCAAATTGTGAGACTCACAATTGTGGGCCCGACAACCGTCATCAGAGAGCTTAACAACTCAATTGAAAAGCCATTTGGGAGCATTTTTACGCGTGTCTAGCTTACGGAGGTCTCACAGTCCAGTCCAGTCCAGTACGGTACGGTGGCGGTCCCATCCCACACTCCACACTCCATATACACCATTTGAATTTGATTGCCGGCAATCAGACGGCTCTGGCTGATCATCATCAAAACATGCCACTTCTGTTTTGTGCGCTAATCGCCTCTCAATCGAGCTGACTACCCTCACAAAAGCCGAAAGCTCATTTCGTTATGTTTTCGATTTTCAGTTTTTTTTTTGTTTTGGTTGGAAATCCCCCTTCGTTTGGCCCCCAAGGCACTTAAGTGGTTTGGACTTTTTTGAGTGGCACGTCGTTGACGTTGGTGGGTGCTCATTCACTCACTTACTTATCCACTCTCTCACCGCTTGCCTCGGATATCAGGTCTATTCGAATGCCCTGCACACCCCAATTAGTGGCACCGAAATGGAAACGAACTCCACCGATCGCGCCGTCCGGAGAAAGCCACAGCTCTCGAAGATCAAAGGAAGATAGCGATGGTCATTCGTCGATGTCCGAGGTACCATAAGTGGGTGGGGAAATAAGATCGAGTGGGTCCGAGATCACAAGGGGAATTCAATGAACTGTCTGGCTTCAGGAGTATTTCGATCATAAAATAGTTATTCATAATATTTAGGTCATAGTACTTGGGGTTTTAAAGTTTAGGGTTACGATTAGTTTTATAAATAAGCTAAATGGCATTAAAAGGGATAATCTTGATTTTAAAATAATGAAACTTTCAGCCCACATGGCGTATGATTAATTTTATAAAAAACCAGAAACTTTAAATAGAACACGGGCTTTTAATAAACTAACTAAACATGCAAAAATTCTTAAAATGATTTACTTTAATTTTAATATTTTCAAACTAAACTTTTCTTTTTTAACAAGTAAAATTTTTTTTGGGCAGGTTGTACTGCCCACAGGGCGTATGATTAATTTTTAAATGACTGAACTTCTTTTCAACCCTTCTATGTACCTTTTGTTAATCTTTTGATGGATAAAAAATTAATATACTAGATTATTTTTATTTTCCATCTTCAATATCCCCTACACGTGCTACAAACTAATAACCCTCACTGCTGACAGTGCAGGGTATTCGAAGAGCAAATCTCAATTAAAACTGTCACAGTCACTCAAAACAAACTGTCAACTTTATTATTAATTAAATGTCAGATTATAGTCAGGCCTGACACACACAATCCCAGCACCCCTCTCGCTTCTCACCATCACTACATGCGACTGGGCGTGGCAAGCAAATCCGTTGCCGCCAAAGATGTCGCACACTCCTTTGAAGCCAGATTTGAGGAAGGAGAGCCAATCTGTCAGTCAGTCACACAGTTCAGTTAGTCAGCTGCCACACCACACTGTACCCCGTACACTGTACAGTGTGCACCCCCCCCGTAGACCACAGCTCAATGAGCTGGAAACGCTAGTGGATTAGGGGACGTGTGCATAACGCGTAATCTGAATGGATTTGGAAAAGTGATTAGTCAGTCCGGCCGTGATGGTGTCTCCATCCATGTCGTAATCGCAATCGAAACGGCGATAGGCCGGCAAACAACTTAAAAAAAGAATTAAACTGACATATAATTGCGGTTTTTAGTGGGCTGAAAATCGTAGTCGGAAATCTCAGTCACCTCAGGCGTGGAGTGGCACCCATTAGAGCGATTAAACACTTGTTCGAGTCCTATCAGGGTGATTACATGCCAGCCGAGTGCCAAGTGTCAATCACTGACATATCAATTCCAAAAATAAAACCTCCCATAGAGCTCTTAATATAGTAAATCTGATTCAGTGCAGGAAATGCGTTTATTCCTGTACCTCTGGCCCTTGCTGTTTGTTCTTTTATTGGCCGTGGAGACCGAGGGCTCCATATTCAGTTTGGGACACAAGAAAATGGAAAAGATTCCCGCAAAACCAGAGATGGACAATGTACCTGGACAAGGGATAGTATCACCAAAACAATTATCGTCCAAGAAGAAACTATCAAATGACTACATCAATGGCATGTTGAGCATTCAAGGACGCATGATCTTCAATACGGTGAACAAGCCCTCGTCCCTGAAACTCTATCGACGGGCTTATAGTGTGGGATAGATGGATGGATTGTAACTCGCCCGGTTAATTTGGGTTATCGCCATTAAGGACACTAATTGTAGTTATATTTTTTATTAAAGGCTATATGAAATGAATAAAATAACAAAGGGTATTCAATAGAGTATTTATTTAAAGCATTTCGGAGAAGGAAAAGAAAGGTAACAACTTCCAAATTGGCCAAGGTTTTATTAATTTCAATGCAGAAAACCTCGAACCTCGAAACCACCACCATTTCACTAGAAAATTGTTCACAGCAATCAATTTAGATTAGTGCCTAGACACTTGTACAAAACCGCGGTTAAGCCGGCATCTAACAGCAGTCATAACACCCCTCGGTGGACACATGGTTACCCCGATCGATTTACGATCAGCATCCAGTTGGCTGGCCGAACGGTTGTAACCTCATCGAGAGCAACACCTTGTGTAACATTAATTTGAGCAATTTAAGATCGGCCGGCCAGTGGCTACAAATCAATTTCAGCTTGACAACTTAACAGTCTAATCGAAAACAACAAAATGGTTGCCCCGCCAACACGACGACAACGAAACCAGCGGCATTGCGGCCAACTCAATTGACCAGCTGTCCGTGTAAAGTCCAAATACGATCGCCTACCCCCTTTAGACCCGGGGACCAGATGAAGCCCAGTGGAACCACTGAACGCACCTAGTTTTTCGAAGTGCTAATTTGGGACCGACTATAAAAAGACGCTCCATAGGACTGACGCAGTCCTTTATCAAGCCTGGACGAACCTCAGGTGGGTTTATTTAGAGCTAGAGTATAAAAGAACACTACTCATGGCTGGCGAAGTTTAGTCATGTCTGGACAATGACCGAAATGCGGAAGGAACACGTGAAGCAGCCAGGCATCAGAGAACGGCCCGGGCCGGAGCACTTAACACTGCCGGGAATCGATAGCCGGCCCAGTATTGACTCTGCCGCCCTGAGCGATGTTCCCAGTGATGTTATCATCAAGTCCAGGATTCGATATGGAAGCACTCTATCCGCCTGCAAAGGCCTACTAATGGAGTACGCTAAAAGCTCTTCCATTCATGGCATCCGCTACATCTTTGAGGTCCACAGACCCATCTACGAAAAGTCGGTGTCGTATTTTCCAAATTATTTACTAAACTAACTGGCTTATCTTCCAGGGTCTATTGGCTGTTTTTCACTTGTGTTTCGGTGTTTTTCGCCTTTGCTCTTATTAGGAGTGCCTACTTTAAGTGGAAATATTCTCCGGTTATTCTAGGCTTTGATGAGACTCTGGTGCCAGTGCATAAGATACCCTTTCCGACCATTACTGTCTGCCCGGAAAGCAAAATAGACCATTTTGTTTTCAACTATACGGATGTTTCTCGCAAGTTTTTGGAGGAGTACAAAACTCACGGCAATATTAGCAATCTCAGCGATGAAGAGTTGAGTACCTAACCTTTTCCTTAACTTTTAACATTTTTCAAACACCTTCTTATAGCTTATCATATATGGCGGCCGCAATGCACATCTGTGACCCGGAGGTTGTTCAGCGATTTAGTCCTTTGCTCTCAGAACTGAATCCTCCATACGTGGACGTAACCCAGACCCTGATCGATCTAAGTATACCAAAGAATGTGACTGGATCGTTTTGCACATGGAATGGACGATTCTATCTCTTTGAAAATATACTCGATATCGTGGTTACGGATGAGGGTATTTGTTACCAGTTCAACGGGATGCATCCCAAGGATATTTATCGGGACGAGAAGTATATCAGCTATGTCGACCCAGATATAGTGGATTTCAACAACTACATCAAGATGGAGGTACCTGCCTGGAACGAGATAACTGGAACATGGTCCCTGGAAACCGGCTATCTGAATCAGGGCCAGAATGCGTATCCCCAGCGAACAGCGTACTCATCGGCGAAAAATGGGTTTTTTGCCTTCGTGAAGGGCTTGCAGCACAATTTTGACTACGACTGTCGCAGGTTTAAGAAGGGCTACAAGGTATGTAACTTGTGTTTTGGGAATCTAATTAATGTTTAGTTGTTCAGGTCTTTTTCAATTCCCCCGAGAGCGTCCCCCTCACGTCCGCTAATTACATTCTGGTGTCCCATGGCGATGAGGTCCTGGTCCGTTTACTGCCCTCTTATGTAATGTCAACTGAAAGCTTACGAGAAATTCCTCAAGATCAGTAAGTTGAGTGATACTAAGGATATGTTATATATGCTATAGCAAAAATAACAAAGGAAAATATTTTCAGGCGTAAATGCTTTTTTAATTATGAGCGCGAGTTGCGATTCTTCCGAACCTACTCGCAAAACAATTGCCAAACCGAGTGCCTAGCTAATTTCACAGTTTCCAGGTGCGGTTGCGCCAAGTTCTGGATGCCAAGTAAGTTAGTCGATTCGCTTCTTAACCATATTTGTTCATCTTTAATTGTACCCAGAGCCCGAGGATACTCCTGTTTGTGGATTGAATGACATCGCCTGCTATACTGCTGCTCAGGACGAGCTGTACGCCCTCCATTACAACCAATCGATGACCAAGAACGTTAAGGATAAAGTTGAAATGATGTGCAACTGCTTGCCAGCCTGCACATCGCTCGAGTATAACTTTGAGATATCAAAAGCCAAATACGATGTGGGCAAGGTAGTCAGATCATTTCGAGAGGAGTATGAGGATATGGGGTAAGAAGTAGTAAAATATGCAATCTAAAAGTTTATTTTCCCTTCCTAATACTATAGTATTGGAACACGAATTGTGGTTTACTTCAAGGAACAGCAGTTTACTGCCAATATAGTTTACATACGCACTACACTGTTTGGTGTCTCAACCTTGATTTCCAATTGCGGTGGTATCTTCGGTCTATGCATGGGAATCTCTTATTTCAGCTTTCTGGAGCTGATATACTTCTTTTGCATGCGAATCTGCGGAAGCTTTCGCGATCGTCGGAAGAACAAGATACATCAGATCCCGAGGTCACGAGGATCAGCTAGAAGAAAAACAAATCCATCTCTAAGATCTTAGATACATCTTTCAAATTAAAAAATAATAAAACAAATATAGACTCTCTACTTGGGCATACTTAGAAACCTTTGTAGGACTTTGGAGTCGGTTTCATGTAGCAATCTCTTAAGTGGCAACAGAGTTGTCTTACCCAGAGATACTGTATTCCATGGACTGCTCCTGGCGGGACGCTAAAATTGTCATATTGCAAGCGCACGCAGGCGCAGCGTAAATGTTAAAAATTATAGCTAAACTCATAAATTACAGGCGTAGTCAGCCGTTGAAACCCGTTCTCCATTGCCCCGCTGCTCCGATCTGCGATCGGCGATCGCCCCGCAACCGAGTGAACATGCCCTGACAGCTCACCGGGTCTTTTAGACAATTTAAAGGCGGTTCGTACTCAATAAACCAAATTCCGCACATAATTAATCGATCCAGAGAGCCGGCTGCAAACCAGACTCACTCGGACTGCCAGTGCCGGCCCCGCCGTTCGCTCATTTCGCTTTATTTTTTACACAATATTTTGACTTTGAATGTGGGCTCAAGTTGTGGGGTGGGGGAGTACCACACTAAGGCGGAGCCACGGGGTAGCGGAGGTGTGCAAGAGGCGAAACTTTTTAATAGTCGCGCCATAATCGTAAATCTTTTGTGTCCGACGCAGTGCAACGAACGACATGGCCGACAAAGCCACGGCTTGGATCAGGATGGATGGAGTCAAGGGATGGTTGGCGATGGTGATGGTGACGGGGTGACGGAGTGGCCCGGGGCACGGTGGTGGTGTAGGGGCACTGCGCCAGTTATAAGGCCATGGGTATGCCGATTGACCAAGCCAATTGCCAAGTCCTACTCACAAACAAATCGAGTCAGTGTTCACAACTTTATTTATGGCTTGAGAACATTGGAGGAAAAAAATTGGAACAGGAGATTGTGCTAAATGCATATTGCTTCTCACTTAATATATATACCAAATATATATTCTTAAGTTCAGATCAGGTTAAAATAAATTAGGTTTAAATATATATGGTTCAAAGCTTACTATTTCATTTCATGGTGGTTAGAGGAGGTTTAAAGGGTTCTACAAAGATGTCCCCAAGAAGATTTATAATAAAACCTAAAAAAGTGATGATGTTGGGAAAATACTAATATGAATATTCGAAAAAAAGTACTACTATATTAGTGGATAAAATTCAAGACGTAGTTTTTAGATTTCCGTAGTAATCACTACAGTAGCATCGGGATTACAACTTGCGAGGCACTTGTGGAGCAAGCGTGTTTCCAGGAATTGTGGTTGTAAAACTTAATCAAACATCAGGTGGAAAGCGATCTGCGGATTCCGGGGACGCGTACTCGCATCCGTATCTTTTTCCCATTCACCTTGTGGATGGCTGACAGCGGACCGACTGGGTTGAGTTGTTCCACCTGAAGAAGGCGCGCTCCATGAACAGAGTTGGGATCATGGCCAAATGGCAAGCCTCTCGTGTAAGCCAGACTTGTGTGCGCATTATTCAAATGCCCATCTAAGTATCTCTTGGTGTCCATGGCTTTGCATCTGTATTTGTATCTGTATCTTTAGCTGTTTTTGTATCTGTATCTGGCGGCGTCTATGGAAAAGCCAAGCCAAGCGCATGCCAAATAACGCAACGTAACGAAAAGAAACGAAACGAGACGCAGAAAGAGACAGCGACAACATGGAGAACTGTCAGTTGGAGCTGACATATAAACTGACAGTTTGAAATTGAGGTTTTCTCCATGCTGACAGCGTAACACGTCAACTTAAGGAGGCATGAGGCCGTCCGAAGTGCCTGTCCAGATACAAATAGACAAGCGCGGCCCCGAGGAGTTTCAGCCTAGTCCATGTAAAGCGCAAAAGATAGTTAAGACCCTGCCGGAGCTGGAGCTGGAAACGAAGTCGGAGGGAGGCCGAGTGGGGACAGGAGGCTGAGGGAGTCTGAGCCAGCAGCTATCGCAGACAGCAGCCGTAGACAGCAGGCAATTTGACAGCTTAAACACACGAGCATGTCAAAATGATATGATCGCTAAGTGAGCGCAAACACACAAAGCACAGAACGGCATACTCAGATATAGCCAGATGAATGCAAAATGGCCAAGAGGAGGGTGCAGCAAGCGGTTCAACCTGCAAGAGCTGATGCAGAGAGAAAAATAATCAGGGTGTAGTCTAGAGTCTAGTTACTAGTCAGTTTAGTAATTTTTTTATTTTAGCTACCATCCAAAATTTGCTTAGGATTAAAATATAATTCTATAATTCTTAACTTGATAGAATTGAAGTTTTATTAAGACACCCAAGTTATCCCAACTGTAATGGGTTGTAGACTTGCAATCAAAGAGCCAGCGAGCCTCAAGTGTTGCATCTTCTTTGCGCATCGGCCTCTTTAGTAACAAGCATACTGCTCGGCTCATGGACAAAACTTTTGCCTGTCAGCGTTGGTACCAAGTGGAATCAGTCTGGGAGTTGGGGCCTGGGCATGGGTATGGGTATGGTTATGGGCTTGGGTCTGGGCCAGGGTCTGAAACTGGGCTTGGAAGGCTTGGAGTGTGTGTGTGTTTCTGGCCTGGTAACTTATCTCGGCTTTCAGTGTCAGCATGTTGTAGCTGTTGTGTGTTCGTTCAGAGTTCGGCGTGCGTGTTGCTTTTCATGTTTACATTAATAAAAGTCAAAGGTTCTCGAGACTGACATATTGTAATTTATGTTTAGTGACAGCTTTATATCGGCGCAAAAAGAACTTTAATCACTTGTTATTTAGCATAAATGAGTTGCCTCCTTGTTGCCGGGATGACTTGCGGATGAGTGCAATTGATTTGTAACTGGATTGAATAACGAAAATAGAACGACTCTGCTTCCAACTATTGAGCTCATCTGCTTCGTAATGAATGTTATTTAATTTCGTTTTAAATAATCTTTTTGTGCCATTTTTGTTTTATTGTTTTTGGTTGACGGGTGTGCGAAATTGAATAACCTGCCACTTAGAAAGGGGGTCTCTTGTCAGTTTTATGTCAAAATAAATGAAGTTAAATGACAGTTTAATCAAGGCGTCAGGCAATGTCAGAGCATCATCATTATCATCATTACTATATTATAGTCAGTCAGTCAGTCAGTCACACAACAAGCCAGTGAGTCAGTTAGTCATGTGTGTGAGCCAGAAACTATTGTAAAACCCAACTGCTGTTACCCTGACTGCCAGTGACTTGTATAATGCATATCTGGCGAACAATGCGAATCCGCGTGCAACTATAGTATATATATTTTTTTGTATATATCTGTATTTCCTTCTGTTGGCTTGTCATTGTCAGGCATTTGCCGAGAGACGTTCGTAAGTGCATTTGCATTTTGCATTTGGCGCGCTGCAAGCTGCAAGCTGCAAATGTTTTTGACACTTGACAGCCAACGCACTGACAGCTATAAAAATGTACGATAAACTGTTCGTACATGGAAGGCACAGTGGGGCAAAGTGATACAAATCAGCTATAATAATAAGAAGTACTTACCTTAAACTTTTATTGATGGGACATACTTGAATACAAATTTTTAACAAAAGTTCTATTGAATACTGTATAAATAAAGCTCTTAAAAATATCATTTAATTTCTATTTAATATCTAAATTTTCTATCAAAATTTTACAAGAAAAGGGTATGATGATGGGCCTTAAAAACGTAATGCTCTTGCCCCATTTTGCGCAAAAAAAAGTAGATCCAAGTCATCTGGTAATTATTATCAGCGGGATGTGTTTGTTGTGGCTTTAACTGGCCCACAGACCAACAGACTCCCGCGTAAAAATAGAAAACCAAATAAATCTTCTCCACTCTTTGAGGACGCCGGCTTCCTGCCCCTGCCACACCGGCTAGCTCCGGCTGTGCGTGATGTATTCCCGCCGTGCTCTTTATGCCGCGTCATCCCAGACCCAAAGTTGTTTACAAATGAATTTAATTGATCAATCAAAGCGAGTGAAGATCAAAAAAAGCAAAAAAAAAAAATGTAGGAAAATGGAGAGAGAAAACGAGATCAAAGCAATGCGGAGCCCAAAACAGACAAATGCCATACAAGCAGCGACAAGCCGAACATGCAGCAATCAGCCAGCAAGGGGCAACACCACATTAGACATGTTCTCCGGTCTTTCAGTCACTCACTCACTCACCCAGTCATTCAGTCAGTCAGTCATTCAGCCATTCCGATCACTTCATGTCCATTTGGACCCACTCCACTCCACTCCTCTGCTTTTCGAGCTGAAGATTCATTGCAGCACATTGCATCCAGCGTGGTACTGGCGTTGTTTTGATTGGTATCACTCAATGAACTTTGATTGTTGTAAATGTAATTAATCAATAACACAAACATTTACACAACATGCAGCCAGACAGCAGGAGAGGGGGGAGGGGGTATCCCCAACCCCCCTTTTAGCATCTTAATCAACTCCAATTGTGCTGAAAAACGAGTGGAGATTGTTGTGACATTGGGTCTGGTCTGGCCAAGTCTGGACTCGGTCAATGGTTGAAAAGTTGCGAAGATAAATTGTTATACAGTGCTTATAAGGCAAATCGATTGGACAGCTTGGTTGCTAGTATGTATGTTTAAATTTATATAAATTATTAATTGGATAGAATGCTACTTCTTAACTTCAAGCCTTTTGCATAATAATAATAAATATTAAATATTTGTTGCCCTCGCTGGCAGCAACGCAACTAACTGCAACTAAACATCCGGCGGAGGTCAAAACGAGCACAGAACGGCAAATGCCATAAATAACCCAACCGATCCCCTCTGGATTGAGCTGAATAATGGTTTACAAAACATTTTTGTGTTTCAGCGATTAAAACGAGAGGCTAATCGGGCTATTGGAGGTGCTGGGAGGTGGCGGAAAATCAGCGCTACAACAATAATAGCTGAAAAATTTGTAAATATTTCATAAATGGGACATAAATTAACACAACTAATGCCATAAACTACAGCGGTGGCAACAACAATAACCAATGTTGCCATGATTTGTTGCACGATAATTGCAGCCAGTTGCAGTAGCGGTGGCAACAGCAGTGCCAGTGGCAGTGGCAGCTCCGACAAACTCACGAACACAAAAAAAAAATAGTCACAAAAGTTGACATTTTCGCTCGCTTTATCTAAATGCACTAAATAAACCGCACAAACACCCAACGATACTGATACACATGTGCATAATGTCATTTGTTCAGAATTTATTGGTAGCACTGCAAAATATGAAAACACAACGGCAACAAATATAGCAACAACACGCCGAAATCGGGCATCGGGCATCGGGCGGCAGCATAAATATTTTAATATGATTTACAAGCGGATGCAGTCAGAGCTTAGAGTCGAAATTCGAGTTGGGTTCTGGCTTAGCTTTTTTTTGTTTACCCATATCTATTAGATACGTAGATGTACTGCATATATTTTATAAATGGGCTTTCCGCAAAAACAGGATGTTTTTGATAGCGCATAGTTATCCCCAAAAGCCAATGCAGTTGTCCGACATGAAATATGAATTAGCCGAAAATTATGCATAAATTATGTTTTGTTAGCTTATGGGGATAACATGAGGGATTTCGCCTTTTTAATGTGTATATGTTTTTGAAATGTTAATGAATCAAAGATACAATTTAGTTTTCCATTTATTTAAAATATGTTTTAAAGAAAAACTGCATTTTGTTCAGTTATTTTAATTAAAAATCCCTGAAAGCTATCTATCCAAGAATTTGTGGTCTCTCACTGAGTCTGGTTTAGTG